AGTGTTAAAGTCTTTTAAAAAGTGTTAATTAAAAATGCGTCAAAGAACTACTAGACCTACTTCCCTCTTGATTACCTCTCGCTGTAAACGCAACACTCTTGGGGAGGAAATTTAATATGCCATGCCATAGTAAAGTATACCTTACATTTACAAATTACGGTGTATTTTGGCACCAGCAACGAGACATGAGAAATGGAAATGAGGATATACGTGTGTAGCTTTTGATTTCACGCCGCTGATTATTTCGCGACGGATGTGTTTCGGAATATCAACATTTGATGTGTACACTCCACTTCGTTTAATTTATAGAAATACTCTATTTAAAGTAGACCATATACTATGTCTGCAATGTTTCTAACACTCGTGATTACTGATATATGCAGTTTCTCGTACATTAATACTGGGTCTATACTTCGTTCCATTAGTACGTTAATTTGCTTTTCACAATTTTAAAGTATCTACGAATAAAGAAGGTACCTTCTTATTTTAAATATAGCAGTTTCATTTGAAATAAATCTCCAATACAATTTAGAACTTAGGAAAGTAATTTCTCTTATTGAAAGTAATCTCTTAACCTAAGAGTTTAGTCTTAAACTAGGTAATTTACGGCAGCCCTACTTTAGTACAAAGTGAGGGAAAACTACAAAAGAGGTAATATAGAATGAATAAACCCCGTAATGGAAGCAGCGTTCTCAAAGACTTATGAACGGTAGGTTTTTGTGGTTGCTTTTAGTAGACTAAATAAGAATTCAGGTCGTGCATTTGTTAGCGGTCCTGAAGAAATTGTATTTAAGGTTTTTATAATTTTGGGAACTATCGCTGCATCTTTTTTAGGTCATAAATATAAAAGTAGGCACGTTTGTTACTATTTAATCTCGGAATATAATTACTTTTGTTTCCATCGCTTTTCTTGTGTCAAATTGTTTTTTTTTTATTTATAAGGTTCAAAGTAAATATTTTTAAAAGATCTATTCATTTCATCCTTATTTTAAATACAGAGTAAACTTTTCCACAAAAGTGTATAAAAGCTTTGCCCATTTTCCTTCACCTTTCTTTTCATTTCACTTCTAAAGATTTTCAAAAGGAATCAATTACTGTAAATGTAAAAAGAATGAAAACAAAAATAATATACAATCCAAGTATATTTGTACAAAAAGGTCAAAGCACTGGTAGTCATTAAAATTAAATCGATAATTTTCACACGACACTTCCGTAGTCCTTTACTCACCTAACATGAACGTGTCCATTTTTTAATATAATTTTGTATAAATGTAATTAAACGTACGCAATAACATACCCAAGGGACATTTGTAGCATGTTGAAGTAAAAAAATATGAATTATTAGGCTTTAAAACTTACCGATTAAAAAATAAACTATTTTAGGTAGTAAAAACGTAATTAATGTTAAACATTATGTTTTGTATGTAATGCTGGTTCAAGGTATTATGTATACAAAAATAAAATAATATGTTAATACGTTTTTTTGTTCCTAATCTGATTTTTCAAATAAAAGTAAGAGTTTGTTCTTTTTTAACTCTTAAATTTTATAATATTCTGATACCAAGAATTATTTTTCTTTATATTTTTAAATTTAGAACCTGACCAATTACCGGGAAACACGCATGTCTCCTGTCAGCCATGACATTGACAAATCATCTGCATGTCAGCTCCAAGAAAAGGATGCGATCAGTTAGGATCAGGTAGACTGTATCCTGTCACTTCTTCCTTGTAAAATGTAGTTTCGATATATTTCACCTCATGTAATTGAAATCAATTCAGATTATAACAATAAAAAAAAAATGATTTTTAACTAAGTAGTTAACGTTTCAGAGATTTTTAGTCTAGGTTACTAGTTAGAATATCCGGAATAGCTAGATAGAATATCTACAACTTGGTTTAGATCTTGAATCTATAAGATTGGGTATAAATCATGCGCAAGGAACAAACTAACCTTACTGATTTTTATGTTTGGATGGATATTTGTTAGAAGAAAATCTCCTAAGTGGCTAAAAGGAGCTTTAAAAAAACTCTCACGGGTGTAGAGCATAGTCTGAAAGAACATATGGGCTATTTGACCATTTTTTATACTTTGCGCGGAGTCGCCGGCGTAAGCTAGCTTTTCAATAAAATAGATCTATAAACACATTGGACATTTAACGATCCGTTTGCATTAGAACGTATTTCAGTTGAACCCAAACTGTCACTAACAGTAGTCGCAAATAAATGTTATCAAAGCAATTTACTGCAATTTGCTTACGCTCGTGTCGCGTTACACAATTTAAATAATCATATTAGACTAAACAATGGGTAATCAAATCATTGTATGCAATATCGCACTTGTCCTATATTCGCTACTAACAAACTTAAACCATTATTGTTACAGCCTGACTTCACAGGTTTTTTAAAAAATTTTAAAAAGTAGTATTCAGTGGACAATCTCTAAGACATTAACACTAAGTTTTCTGTATAGAGATGTTATAATTAGTATTCAAATAGTCTACTAATAATGTCATAAGAAAAGATTAATTTCTTAGTATTTTTATGTAACGTATAAACTTATAATCTACTACTACGATTTCAAACAAATCTCGCCATTAGAAAATTAAGTTATCACAAAGTAACCTAGGTTATATTTATTGCTACATTTAATCATAAAAGCTAGTAATTTTTAAAAGTTTGGACAGCATATTAAAATGTTTTTTCAGTTCTGTAGCAACAGGCTAGTGTCGACCAAAGCCAATCTGTCACTGAGTGTGCTCGGACTTGGACTCCATCCAACACAATTAAACAGGTGTCTCGGATGCGATGCCAGTTGTTTCCTCATAAAACTTACACCGAAATCGAATACTAATACCAACAGAATAACAAACGTAAACATTCACTTGCACTATTGCAAAACTGCATATGCGCGTGCGACGCGAAAGTGCTACGCTGTGCGCATGTCTTTATTACATCTAGATCTGAACGCGCTCTAGCAATTTATTTCTGATTGAATACATTTTGGAACTGTCTAGTCTAGTTCTTTATAGTACTATACATTCGAGAACAAACGTTAACTCAATTCGATTTTATGAGGTAATCTATTACCAATGGAAAAAATACATATTATCCTGAATAAAAAAGGTTGCATGAAAATTGAAAGGAAACAGTTCTGGTAAAATGGAATGATCTAATATCACTCGGAGTTCTTAAGTCGTCTCTCTTAGTATAGACTTAACCAATTAACGATCCTGAGTGCGTAGGTATGCGTATTAATGCGATAGTTTGCGATATTTTACATTTACACCGGAAGGATAAATTGCTTGATTACTTGCTGGTGGATAATATACGTAATACCTACTTAACCAATGTATCACTTAGATTACGGGTAAAACTGTGAGGTAACACAAATTATAAAACATTACAAACATAGAAAAAAGCAATTTTACTATATCAGTATTGGAAAATGGTAGCCATTTTGTGCGCGACCCCTTTCGACAACAAATGAAAATTTTAAATTCGAAAATAGATTTAGATTTCTTAAAAAAAAAAGAATATACCGAACGTAAAATTAACTACATTGATATTTTTAAATGAAATGTGATAATTTTAATTATTAATTGTAAAAATGCATTAGTGTAGTTATAGTTTTTATTAAGATAATATTATGTACTACCTATATTTAAAAATGCAGTTATTTATTTCGCTATAATAAAGACCAATTAGCGTATCAAAGTCGATTAAATAACTTAATATACAGTAACGCGTAATAAGCAAATCGTTTACTTATTTTTTTACAATAGAAACTATAGGAGTCCTTTGTTACCTAAAAACAGCGTAACAACTTAGTGTAATGTAGTTAAGAGTACAAATATCTATATGTCACACATTCAAAGAAATTAAATTTCCATGTACCCTCAAACTGGAAGGAAAATTTCTACTTACGGGTCGCAGACAATAAATTCAGAACCTAGCAATAGCAACGTACAATAAATTGTATTTGTCTAATCGAATGTGTCTTGTACAATTATTGGCCTCAAAAATTGTACAA